AGACATTGTGGAAATGACCGGAATGACGACACGTGAAGGGGCTGTCAAGCGGCAGACGACAATGTTCAGAAGCAGACGACAACTGGGTCCAGCAGACGACAATATGGTGCTCTTGTTGGTCAGATGTGTTCAAGGGCTATTTAAACGACCATAATTGGCCTGGGTTGTTTGAGGACAGCGGGAAATGGTCATATACGGGTTAACAGCTTACCATCCAGCAGGATCATGGTTTTTAACAGCTGTGATATCACGTCCAATTATGAAAACTGTGGATGAATATTTATGCAAATACTCATGTCCCCCGAGGGAACATCTTTGAACGCTTAGTTTGCATACAATAGTTGTGCGTCCTTGACCTTTCTTCCACCTCATCTTGATAAGCTCTGATGTAAAAACCTGCAACCCCATTAGAACAACGTCTCTGTGAAATGTGAAGTGTCTTAGACGATGAGCAACACCATGTAATATCATGTACCAAGTATAGCGAAGAAAAGGGATCACTTATACACACAATGCTTTATTATTACTACACTCTCAAAAACAGAAGAATTCCTAATAATTTTCACAAACAGAGGTCCTGAATTTATTTCCAAAATATGTCACCATCTTTACAACTTGAATTCTACATCTTACCATAGTCTCCTCATATATTATTTCCATGTCATTATACCACATGATTTCTAAAAAATTGTTATAATGTACATCATTTATGTGTGAAATGTATCAGACTATATTTCTCGTACCTGCTGTGTTTATATTTGTAGCTTATAGAATATTGCCACTGTTTCTTCATGGAATGCTATGCAATAAAATATCTTTCTTATCTTTCTTTCTTGTAAATCTAAACAGTAAACAATATGAAAAAGAAACTGATGATACATCATGGAATTAGGCTAAAATATTTTAGGCGCTTATATTCTTATTTTAGCAATATCATGTTGCTGTAAAGACTGAACCACATTTGCACCAATGTGGAGAAGACAATTGGTATGAGTGACGTATTCCACCAGGTTACATTTGGTCATTGCACTGATTTTAGTCTCTGGAAGTTATTAGAAGTTATTACTTGTTATGTCTTGTAAGGAAAGGCGAAGGACCCTTACAGACGCTTACAGACGCTTAAGGACGCTTACGGACGAAAACGGATGGTTATAGTCGCAAGTGCCCCTGCACTACTTCACTGTTTGACTTTAATCTTCACTTGGTTATGTTGTGGTCAAGTCCTGACCATGTAAATATCACCGAGACCAATGCTGTTTACAAGCGTCCGTGACCAATAATGGCCACAACGTTACCAAACAACACACTGACCTTTCAGAACCCACATCCCCTTGTACGTTCTCAGCTCCCACAACACCCTTCATATCGTAGCAAACTTTGTTTAATCTAGTTATCAAAGACAACTCCGAGACCTAGTTACAGATGCAGAAAGCGCCCTCCACCACCACAGCTTCATTCATGTCGTCTGTGTTGCATTTATCCTCCATCACGCTATGATGAAGTCCCGGCCGTGTAGTTTTCTTGACATTCTCAATGATGCCCGACATAGACAGATCAACGATATCCACGTGGTTCGGCTACAACCCACCTCAACTCTGGTCCCCATCTAAATACATCCTGGCTCCAAAACCAACACTCCCAAAACCCGCATGTTTAGTTCACTCAGATCGGGAGGCAAAAACGTCCACCCTCGGCGTATGAATCCACGAAAGTAGTCCTCTGAGACTTCAGCTGCCTCGGAGGGTGCCATCTCCAAAACAACTCTGTTATGTCTACCAGCATACACGACGGAATGATTAAGCTAAGAGATGGCGGCACACTTTAACATTTGTCAAAACAAACTACATGCACGTTTACTTCATATAAAACAGGCAAAGAAACATCTTTAAATGTTACGTTGCAATCATTGATTTCACATGCTATTATCTGGGAAAAGAAATGTAAAAGTAAAAGACATAATTTCAAGAATGTTTACGTCTTTCCAGCATGCCCTAAAAAGGGTGAAAATTAAGTATTTTTATATTTCGGAACGTGCTGTTTTTATAAATCGATTTCAATTCACAAGTTAGAATTGAATGCTCATTTAACTTTTAATACTACACCTACGGCCTGAAATGAATTTATTAAAAAGAAGATAAACAGCATACACTGATATTGAATGTGATAACAGAAGAGTTGAGAAGGCCGTGCAGTTAATACAGAAAATATATATGTTAAACTAGAGAGGGGCACTAAAAGGGGAATTTGTTTCCACCGATAACTAAGACTGGAAATTCTTTGGCGTTATAAATTTAACACAAAAAGGAATGAATGTTTTCAGTGAAACAATGCAAACGTAATGGGCGGTTTGGCGGCTTGATTCTGCCCCCGAAATGAACATATTCCAGTGAATTTTCAGACTTAAACCATGTTATGGTTGATATATATTTTCTCAACAGTTTTTCATTATGACCTTATAGCTGCGCCAGTTTTACAGTTACAATGCATGGTCATAACGGCCAGCAAACTCCTGGCTCAGATCTAACTGCAAGAACAATAGTCCGACTTCGTAATGATTTAGCACATGGGACAGACCCGTGAAGATCCGTGTTAGAATTGGTCTTCAGTAACCCATGCTTATCTTAAGAGGCGACTAAAAGGATCGAATGGTCACACTAGCTTACATGGTTGGCAACACGTCATCGTATCCCAATTGCGTAGAACGAAACTCATGATGTTGATCACTGAATTGTCTGGTCCATTGTCTGGTCCATCACTGAATTGTCTGGTCTATTATTTAACATATATCAGTCATATAGCTGGGATATTGCTGAGTGCGGCGTTAAACAACCAACCAACCAGCACATAGGACAGTGCGCTTGGCAGGTTGGGTGTATATCCCAGCGTGTATCGTACGTCATATCCAGCATTGAATTGTCTTCCCCAGATTCGAGCACACATAACAGGTCGTGGTACTACAGCTAAACATGTCAAAACCCTTCCCATACCTACTTAGATTTATCTGTCGACAGTATTTGCACCGGTGTATTCTAGCCTTTCATAGTGGCTTCGAATGACCTATGAACGCAATCAAATGTGTTTTTACAGTGTTCTAAATCCCCTTTAACGAGAATAAAAGACTCTTATTGCATTTTAAGACATGTAGTTGTTTTGCCAAGGATATCGTATGACCAAATGCACAGGTAATACACAGGTGATATACACTGCCTTACTCACGGAGAACAACGATACCATTCACCATGTGAAACCAGAGTAGCAACGAACAGGTGTATTTACTGGGGTAAATGAATATTAAATGGCTCATAGAAGATAACGTTTTTCTCTCTCCTATTTTAATCTGTCAGCGGGACGTGTTTTGTTGAAAGGATTCATGACATTTACTTCGTAATCGGATCAGTTTAATACATCTGGGGCTAAGGAAGGTTTGTGTTCCGAAATTTCTTATTTTTACCTTGAGGTTGGGAGGAAACCATGTGTATGGTCTGTTGCACCTTTGCCTATCCTTTAGCTTTGACGTTTGAAAGATACATAGTCTATACTGACTTATATTTAGGAGATAAAAATACTGTGTTGGAAATCAGAGGTATATAACAAAATTGAAATAGCTCTAAATTTGATTTATTTTCGTTTATACTTCTGATTTTCCAACACAGTACGTTTATCTCCATTCTGTCATACCATACAAGATTTTTTTTAAATACATACTGTGTCGGAAAATCAGAGGTATATAACGTGATTATATACCTCTGAATGACTTTGATTAACCAATCACAATCCAGTATTTACTGAAGTCACGGTAGAATCTGTGATGTAACTGGCAAGAAGTCCCACAGTCTGACTGCACTCGGTGTAATACTTGCCCATTACTAAAGACGAGAGAGATCCACAGGCTGTTCATACTCGATGTACAATCTGCATTCTTACTAACGACAAGTAACACAGCTAGTCTATACTCTGTGTACAATCTGCATTCTTCTAAACGACACGACACATTGTCTATTACTCGATGTACAATCAGCATTCTTACTAACGACAAAACACATAGTCAGTCTACACTGGGTGTAATTCTATGATGCTGCTAACGACAAGACCCCCCTGTCAGCCTCTATTGCTGTACACGACATACACAGACCGAGAAGACATGGAGCCAGGTAGGTGAGATAGGTTGAGTCACTAACTTCAGTCTCTACGTACGGCGGGATATCGCCGGCCCATTCCTCTACCTTGATTTATAGGATCCGTAAACAGAGAGACACCGGAGAGATTGTGTTTGAGTAGACTCTTAAATTGAAGCGGCTGAGCAATGTTTTATGCCCATTACATGAAGGGAGGCCGCAGTACAGCAAGTCTTGCAACACTGCGCCATTGTACGACATGCACTTTTTTGTCGTAATGCATTTTAATGTTTCCGTCCTTTAAGTGGAGAATTAAGTTAAACGTGTAGCTGATTTCCTTAAAGCCGCCCGGGGCAAGTGTGAATGGAGAACATACACAACAGCATCCTTGGAGTCGGTGATGACCACCAACTGATGTCGTTGACGTGGCCGTGGTACGCCGTGTATCGTAACTAGGGCGGAGTCGGCTGTTTCAAAAGAGAGGGTGAACCGTTAATAATAATTTTATGTATTTATTTCAATCATTGGAAGGAGAGGAAGGGAGCTGGGTGGGGTTGTTTCACCATCAGTATCAACTGTGACATTTCCTACCTTTGTAACTATTGAACTATTGGTGTTGCCACTACTACAACAACAACAACACTACTACTACTACTACTACTACTACTACTACTACTACTACTACTACTGCTGCACTAACTACTGCTGCTGCTACAAGCACCGCACTACCGCACCGCACCACACTTCCTGCACCACACCTGCACTGCCGCTCCACTTCACCCTACCGCACCACACCGCACCGTGTCCGCTCAACATCCACACCCTTCCGCGTTGTATCCGCTCAACACCCACACCCTTCCTGCACCACACCCGTACCGTATCCGCTCAACACCCACACCCTTCCCGCACCACACCCGCACCGTATCCGCTCAACACCCACACCCTTCCCGCACCACACCCGTACCGTATCCGCTCAACACCCACACCCTTCCCGCACCACACCCGCACCGTATCCGCTCCACACCCACACCCTTCCTGCACCACACCCGCACCGTATCCGCACCACATCCTCACCCTTCCCGCACCACACCCGCACCGTGTCCGCTCAACACCCACACCCTTCCCGCACCACACCCGCACCGTATCCGCTCCACACCCACACCCTTCCCGCACCACACCCGCACCGTATCCGCTCCACACCCACACCCTTCCCGCACCACACCCGCACCGTATCCGCTCCACACCCACACCCTTCCCGCACCACACCCGTACCGTATCCGCTCCACACCCACACCCTTCCCGCACCACACCCGCACCGTATCCGCTCCACACCCACACCCTTCCCGCACCCACACCCGCACCGTATCCGGTCCACACCCACACCCTTCCCGCACCACACCCGCACCGTATCCGGTCCACACCCACACCCTTCCCGCACCACACCCGCACCGTATCCGCTCCCTCCCTGCACCACACCCGCATCTCATCCGCACCCTTTCTACACCTATACACCACGCCCGCACCCGACCCGCACCCTCCTTGCACCACAATCGTGCTCTTCCCGCAACAAAACCCGCACGATAACTTTATTTAGGATGTTATGTCATGTGTTATGTGAGCGAGTGATCAATCACGTTGTCCTATTTTATCTTGCATCTCCGAGAACAAACACGTTTGCACAATGGCTACAGAACTATTCGAACATTGAAGGATTTCCTTCCGTATTGATCGGTTAAGCAGCATTTCCGAGTTGGAGAGATGTGCTTATTTACACTGATCTCAGATCACCACACCTAACCCACACCTTCCTCCTACATCCCCACACTTCCATCATCATATCCGCTCCTTATCAACATGGCACACGCAACATACCCGCACCACAAATGCACCCTTCCCGCGACACAAACGCACCCTTCCCGCGACACAAACGCACCCTTCTCGCAACACAAACGCACCCTTCTCGCAACACAAACGCACCCTTCCCACACCACAAACGCACCCTTCTCGCAACACAAACGCACCCTTCTCGCAACACAAACGCACCCTTCTCGCAACACAAACGCACCCATCTCACAACACAAACGCACCCTTCCCACACCACAACGTTTCGTCTTCAACAATTCCTGACTGACAATTCACGCTGAAACAGAGTTGAATAACAGAAAACTGGCAGACCCAGCGAACCTTTGTATGTTCGTACTACAACACATTAGAGCTACATGCCTGCTTTGTCAAAGATATCAAACCTTTTTAACGCTTCGTAAGGCTGTTGGACAGCCTTTTGGTTAAACCGTTCGTCACATTGAAGGCCTGGGTTCGAATCCAACATGGCTACAATGTGCGACGTCAACTCCTGATGTCCCAGGCCGTGATATTGCTAGAATATAGAAGAGCGGATATTGATAATCAACATATCAATGTCTTATATCAATAAATATTAACAATTATATGAAAGTAATGAATAAATACAATATGCCTGTTCTCATTTATTGAATACACCATTTATCATCATCTCCATCATTCTTTTTAACAAGATGCAGGCAAACTGTAGTACAGTTCACAAACAAGAATACCTCCGTCCCTGAAGACCCATTAAAACAAACATCGTGACAGATACAAACTTAGACCGACGATAGGTGTCGCCACAATGTCTCCGTTTTGAGAAATGAACACAATAATAGAGGCACTTTCATTAGCGAAACCCTGGTATCAAAGATTGACATATTTGAGCGGGCTCATTTGGAAGAGACTGGCAAATCAATGTTAGTGATCAAGGCCTGCGTTGGCTCTTCTTTGCTCAGGAACGCGTGATAGTCTAGCGTTTCCTCGTGATCTTTGTCATTTGAACATATAAATCAGACTGTGAATTGCCCGCTATAGATAGTTTAATACACAAGCCTCTCCATAAATACATGGCGCGCTGGGGAGTCATTTCACACGGAGTCCGTATAAAACATTCAACCAGACCACGTGATCCATTTCGAAAATACGTCAGACCGGTTCTATGAATCGACACCGTAAACGCCGACGTTAATAACGCGTGATTTTGTAATTATTGTGTAGATATTTACCACGCTGGTGAATCTAAATGTTAAATATTTCTCACAACGCTTGGAATTTTAATCGCTTACTCCCTGCGAGTGACGTTACAATTATATCAGCGCAGTGCGCCACATGCTGAACTCGTGGCGAGTGGTACAAACCTAATCAATAGAACACAGTTAACTACGACGTTCTAGAGTCTGTCAAAACTCTTGGATCAAAAGCTGGCGTACATTTAACAATTTTATGTAATTTTGTCTGTGCAAACTGGCGTTTATGTGTGTGTAGTTATAAGCAGTTAATTATTCCTGCTCGGATAAGTTTTATCTTCTTGCTGAAAGGAGCTAATCCTCCCTACTCGCTGCAAGGAAACCAAGACTACTTCAAAGATATCACACATTTGACATTTCTTTAGAATGTTGTTTATGGGTCTTTTTTTTATTGCAAACAAATCGACAGGCTTAGCATACGTGCTTTAAAACTTAAGCTAATGTTTTTCATGTTTCAATAAGCCTGTATAATTGATCTACCAGTACGTGAATATATATGAACATTAGTCATGCCTTCCACGTACTCGACAAAGGTATCCGTGTTTATCTCCGGTTTTATGATGTAAGTTTCCTTTGATTTTAACCATGAACCTTCTTTGTGATTTAATGTGTGCATAAAATGCATTTTCCTTTGATAGAACATATAAATAGACATATCAACTATTTATGAAACCATCAGTACATTTTCACAATGACACAAGTCTGAACATCTCGTTCTCTATTTTGACAGTTTCCTCTTTTGTTGCCACTGAGTCTCTCTGGAATGTCATTGACCACGGTATCTCCAGCCTAGTCTATACAAACCTCATACAGAATCGAAACAAACAATTCTGGAAGCTGACCTACCAGGTCTATAATATGTTAGGAAAATTACGATTTCTTCAGTTTGTGGGTGTCGGAAAATAAAGAAAAATTTTCGACGCCTGTCCATTATCAGCCTACCCACAGAAGGCACCCTGTGAATGCTGTGTAGATGACGAAAAGGTTGCTTTTTGGGTGGGCTTGGTAAAGACAATGTTATTAATGGAACCGCATTTTCCTGGTTCGAATCTTGTTTATGTCAGAGGTTTCAGTCAGTGTGTCAGAGGCTTCAGTCACTGCTCCAAACCAAAAGAAGGTACTCCCTGTGTACCACAGGGATCTGTATTAGCCCCGCTTCTGTTACCCTACATACGAGACTTCTAGGCTCAATCACTGACAGCTGTAAGCTAGGACGACGTCTCTATGCTGACGAAATTTTATCCATCTTTGCTCGTCAGCCACCCAAAGCAGCTACTGTCTTGATGCTGTGACAACATAAAGGAATGGACAGTTTCAAATAAACCATAACTTCATGACAACAAACCGAGTGTTTGCTCTCAGACCATAATCACAGAAGACTTCAAACCGCTTTGACTTCGGTGATTCATCTGTGACAGTCATGGACACAGTGAAGGATCTGGAGCTGTTCCTGGTCCTTAGCATAGTTTGAAACACAATATCAGTCATATAATCCGTGGTTGCTTTCAGCAGCTGAGAAATACTGGTCATATCAAGATTTATGTCACAAGGGAATCAGGGAAAACGTTGGCCCTATGCCATGCTATGAACTGATTAGACTACTACCTTGTTCATTCCAACGCTAACAGGCTTCAAAGAGTCCAGAACTCCGCTGGGAGGATCTTCTCCTCTCTCTCTCTCTCTCTCTCTGTCTCTCTCTCTCTATCACATTACTGACAAAAGCGACAGAAGAAGCCAGGATTTATATAATTTCATTAGGTTTATGATAAAGGCCAAGATCAGGTTTGTTCTTGGACATGTCCAAAGCTGTAAAAGGCCTATTTCAAATAATTGTGCAGTTGTTAAACTTCCCATGACGGCGTCGTACCTTGGATGGACCTTGGAGTCAAAACCACAAGCATGGCGAAGACGGTAATGAACCGAACGACCCCGTCTCTTAATACACTGTGTCCGTATCCACTCACAGGGTGTTGGACAGTCTCGTTAAATCCATTACATAATCTGTATTTCATGTTTATATTTTGAAGCAAAATCACACATTGTCTGTTATGAGCGGGGAATGAGTTGCAAACAGAAAACCATCTGTTTATCTTTTCAGGCCTGCCGACTTCATCCAAGCGAAGGACATTCAATGATATAATCCTTTTCATTAGTTTTTAAAAAAAGAACAAAACAAATCTTAAATGTTCATTTTCGAAACTAAATGGTCTGAAAATCTAGTGAATGTCATTTCTACCAACAAAAGGCCAGTTGAACATAGCAAGAGAAGTGTAAGCTCGTGAGACATATACTAGTCTGCCACCAATGATGAACTCAACACACTGACGCCGGTACTTAATCCGTTCTCTATGGTGGGTTCAAGTAAGTCCCATCACATTGAGACCGCCTAGTCAGTGGTCTGGAGTAAAGGACGTCCGCTTGGAGAGGTCAGGTCGCCGGTTCGATCCCCGCCGCACCATCAAAGGTTAAAAGGTCTTATTTGTTGTTGCCTTCCTCCTGTCTGGCATTTTGAGGCCCAAACACAGGACTGCTGGGAGTCATAATACAATACGCACGCGTACAAACACGAACATTTGTAACATTCTCTTTCTGCTACTGCTACTACTACTACTACTACTACTTTTACTTCCACTGTTTCTGCTACTACTACTGCTGCTGCTACTGCTACTATTGACATCACCACCACAACAACTACTACTACTGCTACCATAGACTAATGCTTAGTCTCTGAATATGTATAATTTTGATAGCAACAAACAAGCCAATTTAAATTGAAAAGGAGCCCTAGGGAGACCAGAGATTCCTGAACCTGAGGAAATCTAGACTTGCTTTATTTAGGGCTTTAGCACTGCAGAGAGAGAGCTTGGCAGTAGGGAAAATAATGTGGTTCAGGGACTGTGAGACAGACTACTGCTACCACTACTATTACCACAACCACCACAACAACAACTACTACCACTGCGACTACTACTCGCACTACCACGACCTTTACTACTACTACCACTACTACTCAACAACTACTACTGCTGCTACTACTACTACTACTGCTACTGCACTGTTGCACATTGCTTCTAAAACAACAAATTGTGTCACCCTTTCCGCCAAAACAAAGATTACAAACTATTTACACCAACTTAGAGCCAAAGGTTTATTACACCTGTAGGCATGTGTACTTAAAACAACGGAAGCAGAATTAAATTTCTGTTGCACATTCCGCGCTGACGAAGTAGATTTCAAATACGACTCTCTCATAAGGGAGGTAAGTTTGAGTCCCATCTGTCGTGTAAAAAACTCGTCTCCGTCTGCTCCTATCGTCAACAGCTATGTCATAAACAAGTTACAACTTCGAAACTACACGAAATTGAAATGGAACTTTCTTGCAATGAAAGG